TTTGATGGCCTTGCTCCTTGTGTCTAAACCTTCCTTCTTCATGCCGACATCTTCACAAAACCGTAAGATGGCCTCCAAGGTTGCTAAACACAATGTAGACCTCCCCTGCAGCAGACGATCTTCAAACTCTGGTGTCTCCATCCCAGACGAGCCCCCAAATAGTGTAACCGGTTTCAAAATGGAGTGAGTTCTGAAAAAGGAGGAGGAGACAGTATAAATACAAACAACGTTTATTGGCTCCGACTCTTGAATACAAAAACTTATAATACACATTCTTGAACACATTAATTTCATATATGACTAGAGACTGATACATGTAATAATCAAATAACAATACAGATACATGTATGTGGAAAGTAAACAGTTAACTTGTAATTTCAATGTAAACAAAAACATTGACTAGACATGCAGCGTTTTTTTTCCTTATATAACTGGTACCGATAAACGGCACCGTTCCCAATGCAAAAAAACGTTAATTTTTCCCATTTCTGTGACTAAAAATTCCCAATTCAACTGTGATGCAAAAGACTACGACGAAATCGCATTTCTTGTTAAATGAAACATTGCACTGTCAAGTTGACTAATTGATCACTTCCGCTTAAATCGAAAGTAGAGAAAGTCGTAATTTGGCGGGACATTGTGGTTAGACAGCGTAGTGTCATACATTTTGACAAATTGAAAGCATGAAAATGTCAAAGCATTGGATGATGCGATAAAAAACAATAAGTACTCGTTGCTTATTCTTTAAAACAAGGAATAATGTGTAATTAATTTAGAATGAAAGCAAAATACATTGCATTTGCATAAATGAGAGAAAATTCGCCTGTTTTTCTTCGCTGTAATTTTTCCCAATTGAACCGGTATCGGACCCATTCCCAATTGGTAGAAAAAAATCGCTGACATGTGACTTAATCTTTGGTAATCCTGAGACTTTAACTAATGAACTTGACTGACACAATATGACTGACAAAATAATACTGACATCTTATGACACAAAGTATCACAACCACAGAGTAGCTACCTTAAACTTAATATAGACTGAATTACTATTATTAGTCACTGTGATCTGATGCACTGATAAACATAACTCTGAAATATTACACTAAGATATCTTACAACATCAACTTGACTTTTACATTGCTATAATTACACTGATGGTGATGTAAACAATAACATGTGTATGGGCGCAGCCATCTTGGAAATACCCGGATGTAGAAAGTGCGGGAATCTTGACATTTCACTTTTACATCAACTACGACCTAACTCAACAAAATATTATGCTATTACTAATATTACCTATATGACTTTCACAAATCATAAAACTAAACATGAACTGACATAAATGTATGCATTTTAGCTATATACTGTAATACTCTTTATCACGTGACCTAAAACACATGGTTTTGCACTAATTTTTATAGACGTAATAATTGTCTAACGTAAAATCATAAGTATACAATTTAACAAAATAAAATATCTGGTTACATGTAAATGATGTAAGAAAAATTTAACTCAAAAATGTAGTATATGCATTGTACATGAAAGTAAGCAAACCTTGGTCATGTTAAAAAAAATGCCTGAATATTATGCACAATACATAAGCATACATAATTATTGTCACGAATCCAAGAGAAAACAGGTTATAATTAAAATGTATCTGGAGTATATATAATATTATGATCTGCTTGCTTGTATCTAGTGTTTTGAACATATTTTATTGACAATATGTCAAAGGGATCGGACACAAGTTCTAACAACTTAGGTAGTCCTCTCCCCTATATAAAATCTGCATAGCCATACAACATACTTTACAAAATTTTACAATAATATATACATATACATAGAAGAACAAAGATAATTGTTTTCTGAATGAGGAAATAATATCAATTACCGGGTATTAATAATGGTAATAATAAATACAGTGTTGATATTATAAAAATATAATAATTTCAATAGAGATAATACAATTTATAAAGTGTTAATTAAAACGACCTGATTCCTGAATAAATTTTTGAACAATACCGAAATTTTTTTCATTTTCCTGCGAAGATAAGGAATCATCTCCCCATAGCAATTTGTGCACATTAATCATTTTTACATCTAGTCTCTTCAAATTTCCATTTCCATTCAATAACCTATGATTCTAATAAATTGTCTTGTTTTTCCGGTATGTCTGCTTGTATCATATCAACATCGCACTTTATTTTATCGTCTTATGTTTCTTGATTTCATTGTATTTTAAAATATTATTCCGCATTTTACTGTCATATTTGTTATGATAATCATAGTAATTTTATTTCAGATTATTTTGTTATCTCTCTTCATATTTCTATTTCCATTCGATAAACCATCATTCTTAATAATATGTCTTCTTTTAACAGGTCCAACGCAATACCCCGATAAAGGTATATAGCTTGATAAAGCTATATAGATTGATCAAAGTATTATAACTACCTTCATCAAGGTATTGTATGTAAAGAAAATACCCAAAAAAAAATCTTTAAAAATTTTATTTAAAAGTCGGATTTAAGTTTAATTGACAACTTATTCGAGAGTCACGAAGACACAAAATCGCTGGCAAACATCCTCACAACCTATTAAGCAAAACTCACAATAACACGTGACAAAATCTGTAAACTGGTAACTCAACTCAAACACTCAAAAATTCTTTACAAAATGAAGCAAGGGTTCATCTTGGTCGTGGAATTCAAGTATTAGTATCTCTACTCCATACAATTAATTCTCCTCACAAAAACGAGAATCTTTCTACCAGGCCTTTAAACAAGACAAAGGAAGATGCTTATTCGTTCCATATGTGATATGGATTCCACCTACATTATTGATATCACAAATTTTGATTAATTAATTGATTTGTTACATAGAAAAAAAAACTCAGATTTATGAAGATAATTGGTGATTTTGCTTTAATTTTCCGTTTGGATTTTGACGTTTCAGTTTGTAAATATTTGCTCAGCTTATATTGCTTGTAAAGAGATGTTACCGAGATATTAAATAGTTTAAAATATATTATATATTCTACATGTATTCCTAATTTCCAGAAAATGCTAACTACTTCTACTTTGAAAAATTACGGTACAATTTCTTTAATGTGTTAATTTGCTTGTCATTTACGTTTTATTTATATTTTAAGTAAAAACTGCAGGGATTTTTTTTCGAGATCATAATAATGATAAATTCGTTTGAACAGAATACGAACTCCTTGGAACCACTTATAGTATTAAAATATTTTAATCCTCATTAGAAATGCACCAAATCAAATTTTGTCTGATCTTTATTTTTTATTATTACAATTATTATCAAGAAATAGAAATTTGTTTTTTTACCTACATGTAACAAAGAATGTTGGTTAAAATGCTGGATGTCACAGTCGAGTTATCATGAGGATGGATGAGTTGAAAGTTGTCATTGTAAGACGGCTACTGTACACATTGTCTGCATGAAAATCACGTGGTCCATTTAGAAAAACATTGTCACAAAAGTTGAACCACCACCCTCCTTTGCATCTATCTGCACAGTTATAAGGTGACAAATCATTGTCTCTGTCGTATGCCGTAAACGGACGACCCTCCATAGAACCAGCGCCACCATGATCACGTGAACTTACATCACCTGTAAAGTTGCATTGGTTTAATGAGGGTATATTTTTTGTAAATGGATATTACTTAAGATTGATTGATATATAGAGGATATCTATATTGTGTGATTTGATATTTGCTTTAACCAACGAGTTCAAATGGTGTATATATTCGCGAGGCTTGACCCGGTTCTTTGCGGCTCAACCCTATTCCGAGTGTCCAAATAACAAGCGTTAACAAAATTTTAATTAAATGTACCGATCGTATTATGAATTAAAATAAATACTTTAATCATGCATAAACTCATCCTAGTAAAATTTAAAAGAGACTTCCCAAAATTTTACTTTTTTCTTATTTTGTATCTTAAAAATATTCATAGTAACATAATTAAAAAGAATTGGTGGTTTAATAAAACTGTGTATAGCTGTAATTATGTAGCCCCTCCCCACCCACCCCAGGGGGGAGGGACCCTCTCCAAAAAATACTAGATAAAAAAATTGGAGAGGGCTACATAATTGCAGCTAAAATAAAACACGAACAGTTATTCAATAAATTGATATTTAACATCCCCCTGAATTAAAGAAAAATACCCCCCCCCCCAAAAAAAATAAAATGCTCAATCACTTTATGCTATACTCATTTAACTGAGGAAACCAACACTTGAGAATTACCAAAAAAGGCACTCAATAAGTTTAAAGCGTTATAATAATGTATTCAAAACCTTTCAAAATTAATCGGATGTTTTAGAAACTGTGTTTTCACACACACTCTCTCTCTCTCTGAAATTGTATTTGTCTATAGATATAATGTTTTCAAAAGTACAGTTACACACATGTACATATTCCATAATGTAAATGGAACTCACACAGTAAGTTAGGAAAAGGTCGATATTTTAAAAAAAAAATCGCATATTTCGTAGCACGTACGTAACACTAACGGATGGGGGTTGGGGTGGGGATGGAGCGAGTTTCACCCATTTAAAAAAATTAGTAATTTGCAATAATATTACATGTATTTAGTTTAATTTTTTTAAACTGAAAGACGGCTGTCCCCTTGCCGTTTTTACTTTCTTCTTGAAGCCGACAACAATAGTGAGAATTATAAAAAATAATCACCTTTAATATATTGTTTTTACTTCCTGTTTTTCATTTCTCTCTCTCTCTCTCTCTCTCTCTCTCTCTCTCTCTCTCTCTCTCTCTCTCTCTACCCCCACCCCATTTTGCGTTTTAGGCAAGTTTCTACTGCAGTTTTAGATATAGATTTTCAATAATTGTTTTATATTTACCTAGTCCCGAAGATGTCATTCACCTGATGCATGATTAGCATTAATTCAAAGGGATAAATCAGAAAAATATATGACAACACTTTGTATTTTTTGTTCACGTAAACTTGATTTTGTAGTCATCATCAGAGGGAGACGCAATTTTTACTTCCATAGCAAAAATCTAAATAATCTGTACTCTTGTTCACATTGACACACTAGTGTAAGGAATATATTTAGGATACTAGTATATCATATAAACAATGAAAATAGAAAGATCAATAGCATTTAAACAAAATTAATTAAAATTAAAAATTTTCGAAAATCGATTGTCACGTTAATTTGCCATACATGTGTTTTTTCTCATTAGAAATTTCAATAATAAATTTCAATTTATTTTCCATTAAAATTCTGGAAGAAAAATGGTCATGTCAAACTGATCATGATTACCCCTTTCACTGTAATACATTGAATTCATGTGTTATATTAAAAAAAAGGAATATTGATTAAAATTAAAATTTCGGAATACAATTAAAGCATTAAAACATTTAAACTTATTAGCTTTGGTTATCTTTTCAATATCTATTCAATATATTTAATTATCAGGTGCTTTTAGTTGAGTAGCAGCATGTAAAATCTGCATTTAGGAAATTTACAAAAAATACATCGAACACAGGAAACAAAACGAAACAGAAAATGAATTTCAACTTGTTCATACGCAACAAAATAAAATAAATAAACTTGACAATATTAAATCACGGAATTAAACAATCAGTCAATCAACCTAAATGCCTCAATAGTTAATGGTAATCTGTAAACTCGGAACGTTTTCTCAAGTTTTGGCTTGCACGTACTTGTTATTATGACGTCATGTACGTAAAATGACGTTGATTCTAATGCCTCAATAGTTAATGGTAATCTGTAAACTCGGAACGTTTTCTCAAGTTTTGGCTTGCACGTACTTGTTATAATGACGTCATGTACGTAAAATGACGTTGATTCTAACCGTTGCTGCTAAATGGACAAGTATTACCTTGCTGCTAAATGGACAAGTATTACCTCAATATTGATAATACCGGTAGTATGAAAAAATATACATTTGAAACGAAATCGTGTTCATTGAGCACATTGAATGGTAATAATACCGTCACTATAAGCTACAACTCATTTATTTCGAAAATTCATGGCGTCATCGCTTGTATGAAACTCCATTGTTTATCCATATATTTGCCTGAAATTTTCACGATATTCTACAAATAAGCCATAAAAACTTTAATGTTATGCAATAAAAAGATGTAAAAGTTCAATAATTATTTACGTTGAGTAGAAGTAAAGAAATACAAAGTCACAATTCATTTCAATAAAATCGGCCCAAATTCGGCCCCGTGGCACTCTACGCAACTGTGTGATCGGCCCAAAATCGGCCCTGTGGCACAGAAGTGGTTAAAGATGTTCTAAAGATGATCTTTATCTCATACGACTTTCCTTTAAACAAAATTTTGAGACTTCCCCTGTGAAACTACATGAATGATTGCTAATTCAAATTGATGACGTATAAATTTTGATGACGTAGCATCGTTGATGTTGATTTGCCTCGAAAGAAAGTAGATCGTGTTCAAAATTTAGAATTTTTGCTATCTCCGTCTTTGAAAACATTATGTGAGAATTGCTGGAGCTTTCAAACAAACGAACTTCTGAGTAAAGTAGTAATGACCATGGGATGGTGAAAATGAACTCTTTGGACGATGGCAGTACAAAACGTGTAAGGCACGGCTAGGGGCCGATTCATTGTTGATCCATGGCAAGTTACACCTGCATTACTATTAGGCTATAGGTAGGCATACGTAGTAAAAAAAATTAAAAAAAAAAAAAAAAAAACATTGTTGAAGACGTTAGAGGAATCTCATAACAACAATTTAACTGCTAGGCTTTACTTTCTCTGAGAATAGTTAAAGGAAGGGAGGGGGAGTAACATCCGTCAAATAGTCTTGATGAAATAAGACACTTCTTTGACATGTACGAATCTTTTTCTTGCTTTTAACGACATTTTGCTCTTGATCATTTGTTTTATAAGGGCAAGGATTTTAACAAGGAAAAGTTTCAATAATATAAAACCTTGAAGCTAGGAATCGGGTCAAAACCGGAAGTGTTATTAATAAAGCATCCACCCGTGGATAAAGCATATCATGTATCATCCACACGTATGAGATAAATTGTATATATTGTTTAAGGTCCTTCTCGATAATTTTTCACTCATATATGGACCGTCACACGCCACCATTTGCCGGTGGAGAGCTGCAAATTTTGTCCTATACTCGGCACTCAGGATCATTGAGCAGTGAGGGATCTTTTTCTTTTCAGCACCTACGGCTACCTTTGTTTATACGGATTAATCCGAAGGACCGGTTTCCACGTCCCACATTGAAATTCGAACCGCCGACGTAATTAAGGTTCAACTCCTTACTTCGCGACTCTAGATCAGACGCTCTAACCACTGCGTCACGCAGGCGACTAAGAAGAATGTCATGTGATTTACATGTCGTTAGATATCTTTGCTTTACCAGCAGTTCCAGAGGCCCTTCCGAGAGTTATGGTGTACTTCTGAGCTTCAGATGCTACTTTCATGTTGTCAAATCTTTCATACCACGAATGTCCATTAGTGTCTGAGATACCTATGTGAAACAGCGTTCGGTGTGGTTTTGTCAAAAGATGAACGACCTCGTTTCCTGAATAAATAAAGATGATTTGCAGATTAACTAGACCATCGAGTTACATGTCAGAAACATATGTTAGATAGGATTACCAGTTGAACAATATACAAAGAATCAAATTAAAGCATTTATATTTGTTTTAAATAAAATTTTTAAAAGATGATTAAAAATATTCAAAATAAAAATCTTTATCGTTCATCAAAATCAAAAATCGATGCAAAAATATATGTATCTTAGTGAAGTCTTCTTGTGTGCCAGGTTATATTAAAATCAAACTAAAACTGTAAGAGGGGAAGCATTTTGAAAAATTTATCTTAGTCTAGTCTACTTGTGTTCCAATTTATACATGTATAATTGAACTCGGATTAAACTGTAGGAGGAGAAGCGTTTTAAAGGAATTTCACAGAAATTCATATGTTTAGTAAGCGTGGAAAGACCGTCTATTAGAATCAAAAACCGATACACAGACTTATGTATCTTGGTGTAGTCTACTTGTTGGCCATTTTATACTGAAAGCAAACCAAATTTGTAGGAGGAGAAGCGTTTTAAAGGAATTTCACGGAAATTAAAATTTTTAGTAAGCATGGAAACACCGTTTATTAGAATGAAAAACAGTTGCATTAAATTATGCATCTTAGGTTTGTCCATTTGTGTAACAAAATATCAGACCAAAACTGTTGGAGGAGTAGCATTTTAAATGAATTTCAATGAAATTTCTATTTTTAGTAACCGTGGCAACACCGTTCCTCGAAATCAAAAACCAATGCATATGCACTATATTGTGTATATTACATATACTAGTATTGTTTTGTTTTTTTTTAAATGAAGAATCGATACAGTTTTTTGGTATATTTAAAAGTAAAAATCTTAAAATATCACAAAGCATTTACTGCTTTATATGGCGTGAATTTCTTTGGTCCTCAAAGTTTTTAAAAGTCTAGGACAAACGTATACAATGCATATACCTCTGAAATGTCGTATTGTTATTAATGGATACTGAGTTTAAGGTTCTCGCTCTCTTTCATATCTATTAGTTTATCTATTCTTTAATCGGAATGACGAATACGTTTAACTTCTAAAATTTGATTAAAGTTGGCATGTTTTATATACTGTAAAAGTATAACTAGTGAAAGTCACTGGGAAGACTAGTAAATTTACTGTCCATACAATCACTACCTTAAAAGTAGTTTTACTAGGTATTGGATAGATTTACTAGATAACATTAGTAAATCTAAGAACTTATAAGTAACTTTCACTAGGTACTGAAGTATCTTTACTACCACTACTCCACTTTTTACTATCTTAGCTAGTAAACAGAGTGATTACTAATCACGTCGAACGCTTTACTAGGCACACTAGTTAAATCAAATAGGTATTTCTTTCAGTGTATATCGCAACGTCACGCTGTCCCAATCAGACGACTTAACGCGCCTCTAATTCTGAAGAGTTCTATAGTGGAAATACAACGAATTCCTCCAGTCGTCTAGATCGCAGGATTTTATCTGTAATAATCCAAATTATCCTATGGATCTAATAAACACTCGAATAGAGAAGGCATTCGAAATTCCAATAGAGGACATAAGAAATCGACGCCATATAGAGCAGTAAAAGTTTTGTGAAATTTTTGGATTTTTACTTTTAAATACTAGTATTACATATAATTATTGTATATGCATGTAGTACATATGTGCCAAGTTATTTTGAAACCAGACAAAAATAGAAGGAGGAGAAGCATTTCAACAATTGTTACAAATGTAACAAACAGAAGGACAGCTAGACAGACAGCTAGACACCAGCTGTAGACGGACGGACGACAGACGGATAACTTTCGCATAAGCTGTGTTGGTATCTGATCGGTGGAGCTAAAAATGAACAAAGCTACAGAAAAAGAAACAAATTACAGAAAATTTGTCAACAATACAAAGAAGTACCGATTCGGAAATATAAAAAATGTTACATCTACATTTGTTTATGACAGTGTTTATATAAATCGTTTTGTTGTTGCTATAAATGTATGTACAGCTTCAAATATTTGTATGCTAATCACAAGTTCCTGATTAGGCCTACCATTTAATAATAAATCACATTCAGAGATATGGTCACAATTTATAATATCACTTGGTGAATGAAATATGCATATGTTTTGGGTCAGTGTATTGTACATCAAGCAGAAGGATTTATAAAAAGCTAAAATTTAACTGAGCATTAAAAATGTTACGAAAATGCATGTAGTTTTAATTTCATCGACAATTAAAAGCATTAAAATATACATTATCCTTTCATTTAATTAATTATTTAATCATTTATATTTTTATCTACAGTCCCATTATTATTTAAAACTCAATATTACCAAGCCAGAATTCACCAGTCACATTCCCAAAACCATCTTTGTACTCTTCCCAATTTCTAGTAAAATTTTCTGTTAAAGGATGACGCCATTGAAACACCTAGAAATATTTAACGTCAAGAAACAGTTTCCTATTCAAGAACAACAAAGAATATGTCATAGAAGATACATGTAACAGAGGGCAGCTGCTTGAAATTGTGTATTCAGTGAAATTCCATTTTTGTTCACATGTGGAAAAAAGAAGGTGATACCAATAGAGATTTTTAAAAGCAACGTTAAGTTTTATAATCAAAATCAATGTTTTAGCTTAACAGAGAGAGAGAGAGCAATATTGAATCAGTGTAAATCATATCATAGCTTTATCTTAACTTTTTGGAAGCTTATATTTGTTCCGTAAGGAACCGAAGAAAGCAAACTATATTGTAAAAAGACATAATTCTTGGGTTCATTTTGAGTGCTAAAATATATATTTGTTAAAACAAATATCATCATAATCTTCTGTACCGTCCATCCTTTGGGGTCCACATCCATGTTACAGAGTACGTCTATGGACTTTCCACTGGATCCCCAGGGATAAATCTGGTATACGCCCGTTATATTATATCCATTATGTAAGATTTCCCAGCAGTCGAATGGGAACGAGTCTAAAACAAAATATTCGTGAATTAATTTATATCACTCTGTATACCATTGCTTTAGTGTGTATACATGAACGTCATTTGCGGAATCACTGTCTAGTAATTAATGTCAGGACATCAATGATAGTTTGAAACGGGGGATATTTTGCATAACGGAAGCTCTGGCATCCACTATAGCTACTTACTAGACAATTACATGTATTACTAATTTAAGGTAGGTCGCGGGTTTACTGCATAAAAATTCTTACGAGAAAACATATCCTGAAAATTTGATGTAATGTTCCTTAGAATTTACAGCGTATTACATGTAAATGCAATTTTCATGAAATTTGCCTACGTAGTTTTAATGCTATATTACTGTAAACGCGGTATAGTTTATAGTACATTTTTACGCTTTACTATTGAAACATATGGCAAAATGACGTTTTTAAGCCTATTTTGTGAAAATAGTTTCTTTTAGAAAGGTTGGATAATTTTTTAAAGACGTAGACGAATTAATCAAGATTTTCAAAATGTCAAGATGAGGAAAATTCAAAATTATTGATATAAAAATATCAATATGTCTTCTCACTAGATTTTTTGCAAAATAATTTCAAAGTTTGCGTTTATATATCCACATTGTTGCGTTTAGGGCGTTATTTATGTATACAACGTCATATGTTGAACGTTATCACGTGAACAGTACAAGTTTACATGTACTCTAAATATCTGGACATTTGGATTATGTAAGATTTAAAAGGTAACAAAGATGCAGCATTTAATTTATTGCGGAGACAAATTAGGATGGCCAGCAACTTTTTTTTCACTAGTATTGTGAAATTCATAAAATGATCATAAAGTGAGAATGAAGGGTATTAACATTCCTCACGAGAGTGCATCAAAATTTTAAACATGCAGCGACGGTACAACAACGCTAGTGATAAAATATTACTTCCTGTATTTTGGGGAAATTCATGGTCAATGGAATTTCAGGCATAACACATAAATGATCACTTTATCGAAAACGGTACAGAAAAAAATCCGATACTTAGGAAATTATCAAGGTGGGGGTACCCGCAATGCACTTTCTATATAAGTCGCAAGATAATATATGGCCCCAACTCTCAAACATTTGTTAATTTCAAATTCTCTGATTCAAATTTCCATACGCATAATGTTAAACGCTTTCATTTAGCTTTTGCACTTAAAGCTTTTGCTCTAAAATGTAGAGAGAAAAAAGATACTTGTAAATTGTTTACAGTGTCATTTATAGGGCTGGGTATTGGCCCGAGATTTCGTATTGCGATATATTGCGATATTTATAACTGTATTGCGATATGTATTGCAATATTTTTAATGTAATTTAAATGGCATTTTCTTACTATATTTACTTTAATTTACATGCAAAATGGACAGAAATATGATAAGTAACCAACACACAAAAAATTCTTGTTGATTTCATTAAAGTTATGCTCTGAAATGTTCCCACAAAACAACTTCTATCTTATTGTTTGGCTTAATAACAAACTTTCATATGTCCATTTTTATATTTAATGACAAATTCCTTAATCTAAGCATATTGCCAATATATCGATATTACAAAATCGTATTGCGATACGATATTTTTTGTCATTGTATTGCAATATATTGAAATATCGATATTATTGCCCAGCCCTAGTCATTTAGGTCTAATAGTACAAGTGTTTGAATAAATTTGGTTTATGAATGCATTTCACAAATTGTTAGCAAGCAAAACAAGGCGACTACACGAAACTTAAATACATACTAACCAAATAATAATGGTGATGATAATAATAATAAAAACAGAAAAAGTATATTTAATTAAATCTAACCAATTTTTAGTGTTGCGGATTGAATCCATCCCGAAAATTATACGCATTTTTGACCCCGCTTAGATTGGCAGTCATGATGCAATACGCATGTTCCCCTGGGTTGCAAATAACTTGCGCGAAGACAGCCCCTTAAGTTTTCCGTTAAAATAACTTTCTTTTTGCATACCATTACTTTTACGCTGTCTTATTCTGATTGACTTTTAGCAGTTTATTGACACTTACAATATAAATTATTCCTTTCATTTGGTATTGTATTTCATTTTTCCTAAGACATACGTTACATAACACATAATCGCAGCAGAAATCAGACTGAAATTTAATTATAAAACATGTATGCGGTTTACGTACAATAGCATGAAACTTTGTATGTCTACTTGATTCTTGAAGTCATTTGCAGAGAATTAAACGGGAAACAATGCAACGTTGCCTTTGTGACGAAACTGACGTCATAATTAAATGTGCACAAAACAACCGATCGGATCGTCGAAACTGTGTACCAAAATTGATGAGAAAAGCAAACCCGCGACCTACCTTAAATGGCGTACATGTTGTGCTTGGCGAAATTAAGATGCCCCTAGAATGATCAAGAAATGAAATCAACTAACATTCAAAGACTTACCACAGAGAAAACAAATAGAAATGGAAATATGACGTTACATAGAGACGGAGGTACCCGCAAATCGCAGTGGTTAGATCATCTGCTGTACATTTTCGAAGTAACTAGAGGTACTGTGAGCAATTAGCTCACTAAAGGATACCCCCCGCCTCCCATAATGTCCATGTTTAGCTATATATTGTTTTACGGTAACGTGTAAAGAGGAATAACTCGAGGTATCCAATGTTATTCAGAAGCTGCCATATCCCACGTCATAGGTAAGAATATAATGGGAATGTCCATGTTTTGCTATGGGAAACCTAAAATACGTGTCGGATCAAAAAGTAAAATAGGAGGTGCACAATGGCAATATGTAATAAAGATTCTGTGAAAGTTTCATTGAATTTCACCGAGCGGTATAAGAGGAGTTGTGGATAAGAGATGGGTACCCAAAAGCGTAACAGACAGACAGACGGACGGACTGCTGGACGGACGGACGAACATACCGATTACAGTGTACCCTCCCACTTTTCAAGCGAGGGGTATAAATACCCTCCCACTTTTCAAGCGGGGGTACGGTGTATAACAATAGTAAATAATATCCCGAGAATGTACTTACATTTCAATGTTGTGGTGGGAATAGTTGTCGTTGTGGAGGTGGTAGACGGTTTAGGGATTGGTCTTGTTCTATTACCTGAAAACACAAGAAGATATTTACTTTATTTCCTCTGTGACAATGCCATCCTGCAAACTTCTTTAAATACTTTCATAAAATTGGTCGAAGATCAATTCATACAACAAAATGAGTAATGTATTACGTACCGCAATCGCTGTTACATAAATCGGAATCACAGCACACAAGACAGAGCTCAGTCGACCTTTTACCGAAAATTGATGCAGTCGTACTTCCACATTTCTTTTCAAAGCCAAATAAAAATGAAAAGAGAAAAAGTTAAATTATTATCATCACCTGAATTTGAAATACCGGTATATTATTCTTTTTCATTTAAATATTCTCCTCCTTCCGATTTCTGTACATTTAATTGCGTTACTTGTAATATAATTATCAGTTAAAATAAATTTCTTACATTTCTTTGAGAACAAGAGGATACAAAGTAGCTCTCTCCAAATTCAACTTCTTCATGCAGATGGCAAACCTACGTAAACAGAGTATCAATCTATTTTGAAAATCTGACTGTTGAATTCAGTTTTCCTCTCTCACGTCTCTTGTAAACAGTTTCCTTATACATTCTATTTCATGTGCATATCAAAACAGGTTGATTTATTAAGTACTTCAATTAGTGATTCTGAAAGAATGTGGAAAGACTTTGTCTCCAAAAACTGCAAAGGTGTCGGGAATGAAGAACTACAGCAAGGTATTATTATAGATCGTCATAATAGAGCGACGCAAAAACACAATGCCCCGTGACGTATTTTATATAACAAAATTCGACAAAACAAGACGTAAACAACAAACAAAATGTATGGATTGCATTAGAATGGGAATAACTGATCTTCTAATTTGGTATTTACGCGGAGCCGGTAAAACGGATGTTTGCGACCGTTAAATCAGCATTAACGGTCGCAAATACCAAAGAACTACGAACTCTAACTCTTGATTCCCGCCTACATTTTGCACCCATTAAATTCAATTTTAATGGCAATTTGGCCATTAAATCTTTGTTTGATACAAAGAACAGTTCTATGGTAATTGATTAACCATTTTAATTCCAGCGCTAGATCGTAAATTATCATTAATTTTAGCTCTTGAAAAAAGGGGGAAAGACGATATTTTCTAGTGAAATCGAACTTTCAAGAATCACCATATTTTGAAATAGTATTAAATATGATAAAATGTATCTCATATCTTTTCTTATGTTTTACGCAAATAAATAAAACATAAATAAATTAATAAAATACAATTACTTAGTTGTAAAGAGCTTTAAAATTGGTGAAAAATCAGCATTTTTTCTTTTTTTGTCTATAAACATATGTCCCCCCCCCCCCCCGTGAAACACAAAAAGCTTTGGCATAGATTTGTAAAATGACAGTCCATATTACCTGTAAAAAGGAATTTTTTTTTAAAGGGGGGGGGGGGGAAGATGTTTTAAAAATATTTTCCGT